TAAAAATTTAGTAACGAAACATAGTGCATTGATCCATCATAGCCAATGCAAGAATTAAAATGATGTTCATCGACCTTTCAAATTTTATGAAATATTGAGACCGTTCAGATAAATTTTATATTCCATAATCAATTAGTAAACATTTTCATTATAATTCATATTTATTATCAAAATAGATATTTTCTTCCAGCTGAAACAACAATTGCAAAACCTTATTCGTGTATGTACAGGGTGCGGCAGAAATAACTCCAACATTTCAAAGGGGGATTGAAAAAAAAGTATGAAATGGTAGAAAGACTCGATGCTCAGTCGATGTATTTTTTTTTTCTACTTAAAGGAGTATTAAAAAAAATATTTGCAGCGACAGGTAGAATTAAATGTAAATTTCAATATTTTTCCCACAATTGTTATAAATTGCTTCAATATCATTAAAAAATGTATAAGAAAAATTTAAACGTTTAAAAGTTATAATTGACGTAAGATATTTGACTCAATCCATAGGCGTCCACGAAAAATTTTCTGGGGGCCGTACTTAACGTGTTAAATAATTTATAATAACGAAATTATTAAATAATTCTATGAATAGATAAAATTGCATACAATTGCAAAGTTATTTCCTTTTCAAAATGATAATAAAATTTGTTTTCATTTATATTCATAACAATGATTTGGCGATTGAAATTAAAATTTTAATTTCTTAAAAAATAAGATTATTTTTCGACATTCATTAATATACCAAAATTATCATTGCCATTATTAAAACATTTTTTGGTATATTATCGGCATTAGGAAATTTGAGGTAGGAATCTAAATTCTCTTTTAATGTAATGCGTTGTTTATGATCCTATCATCATTTTTTCTTTACTTCTTGTTCATAGCAATAAAGAAGTATTAGGACCAAGATGGAAAAACCGAAACTATAGTACAAGTACGATTGATTAGGTTTATTGCAGGGTGTAATAAAATTATACCTGCTCTAGCTAGGTTTCAATTTTTGCATAAGCCATAAAACCTGTACCTTAATTCCTCAGGTACATCAATAAATTTGATATATAATTCGCAAACAAATTGTGAACATTATCATTCTGATTCTGAAACTTGTGACAAACACAACTGTACTGAAGCAAAAAACATGAAGCTGACTACTTCAACGAATTTAAATAAAGGGTGCTGCTATGGAAAGAGATTTTGGTGCCCATACAATTGTTACAGGAAGTTGAGAAACAACATAATTAATTTAACAATAGGTAAACAGTACAATAAGAGCAAAAGTACTCTAAGGAAAATGATTTTGCTTAGAAATACACGGAGGACGCTGAGCTCGGAATTGGATAACGAGCATTTGATATATGCATCTCGTCAGATGTATATGCAAATGCCTGCGCCAGTTCCAATTCCGGCTGAAATGACTCTACAAATCCCGAGCATATCAAATTCAGTGAATAATTTACCAGAAAATACCAATTCATGTGCAGAAAGTAATATCAGCGTTCCTCCAACAAATTACGAGGTACCTGATATAGAAATAAATTTAGAGGAAAACAAAGAAATATGTTGGTCATCTGTGGTATGCTGCTCAACTTACTTAAAGTGAGAAGAAATGTGATAAAAAAAACTTTGATGATATGTTAGATATATGTTATTTGTTAATTTATTTGTAAATGCGAGTTACTTTTTAGAAATAAAAAATATTATTGTTAATTATAACATTTCTGTTTGTAACATTTAATCCCTTTCCCATTTTCTAATTTCAGCTTCAAAGATAAGAAAAACAATATTTGTGTTATGGTTTTTTTTAACTGAAGCAAATTGTAGTTTTCTTTTCTCCCTTAATATTAGTAAGTATAATAATTCTGTAAGTATGTTACACTGTAATCTAAGGTAATTTTTTCTTATAAATATAATAAAAACAAATTAGTTACATTAAATTTCAAACGTTGCATTTTTTTGATATTTAAATTTAGTAAATGTTGAAATTCAGATTTTTTGGTATTTGGTTTTCTCAAATTATTTACAATAAATTTCAATTTTGGATATTTCAATATTTATTAATATGTTATGAAATATTTGTGTTGTTTATTAATACGGTGGAATTTCGCTTAACGAGCAAAATGTGCGACGTTTCACATAACGAGTGACGATGAGAAGAGAAGTCCCTGCTAATCATTTTTAAAACCTGTGTACACATATTACACATTGTACACATATTATGTGTATTTTTGAATATGTTTCACTATACGAGTAAAAGTCCGGAAATTTTGGAATCCGGAATTTTCTGTATATTTAGAATTAATATTCAATTAAGTTAAATCTTACAAACATTTTCAAAATAATTAACTGAAATTACTGCAAGAATCATAATATACTTTTTCCATTGGACATTTAACGTTGCGTGCGGCGAATAAATTGCAATGCAAGTTTTTACTTCGTACTAAACTCGATTATGCAAAATAGTTATACTCATTTCGCTCCTTAAGTATGCTAAATAGTTATAAATTTATGTATTATCTTGTTATTAAAGGGAGGAGAAGAACGAGAGAGAACAGAAAGAAAGAGAAGAAGAAGAAGAAAAAAATGAAGTGGAAGGATAAACGAGCAGCTCAAAAGCACAGGCGGCGTCGGTTAACAAGTGACGTTAATTTGTAATGACCAGGTCCGACTTAGCGAAAAAAAAAGAAGTTAAATGGATGCCCAAAAAGTGAGACGTTAAACTGTAACAATTTATATTGACAATGAATTTTGTAATGTGCGAATTTGTTTCAGCAGTTTTCTTTTAATTGCATGAATACAAATATTTTTTAATAGACAAAAAATTGCAACATTAATACAGATTATTTTACAACAATTTGAAAATATTCAATCATAATTGCTATAAATTAATTATTAAAAAAAAAATGTTAAAAACTACGAAAAAAATTGTTTTATTTGAAACTTTAAGTTATATTTAATTTCACTTCTGTCTTCAATTACAAGACAATAATACTATTAAGGATATACTGAGAGATTTAATAAAATAGGCAAATGAAACTTGATCGGTTTATATCAAATTGCGCATAATGAAATTTTAGTTGAATACTGTAATATTGGGATAGGCTTAATGGAATTTATATATGTACATAGTGTAGATTATGAGAGGGGTCCGGGATGTGTGAAAACAGTGATTCATTTTGTGTAACACGGCCAAACATAAGTTGCACGATCGCCCCCGACAATAGGGCTAATATGATATCAATTACGGTCGAGCGGTTGAAGGGATGAGCGGTCGCGCCCTTTTGCCTCTCTCCCAAACCCAAAACCCGTATGTATATACATATAGTATGCTTGCTGCAATTGTCCTTGCAGCACAATTTAATCGGATCGTCCTTGTTGTCACAACAGTATCGCATCAGTAATCCGATTACGACCACACACACACACACACACACACTCAAACGTACGTACGTACGAACGAACGCATGCACACGTCAACTCTTGACGTTCGTCACCCTACTTTCAGTTTGCTGAACAACGTGCGAAAGAAACTTTTGAATACATTGCTTGTAATTGCTCAAAACACAACGACACTTTCACTCTTAAGTATACATACATACTCTCATTTTAATGGGATACTAAATTCATGTAATACAACATTTTCATTATTAATAACAATGCAAAATCTCACGATTAAGAAACTAGTAATCTATATGATTAATAATAATACAATATAAGCAGGTTTCAAGCGATTTGTTATGAACTACAGAAGGAATGTTACAATAATTAATTAATTAATCTTTTTATATAAATGTTTTCTGTAATTGTTTTGTAAAAACATATGAAATATTTAGTAAGTTATTTATAACAGACTTCTGCAAGACTTTTAATTTATTGTTGTTTGAGATTTAGATAACAATTCATTTTTTTAAAAAAATAATTATTGCAAATTCAATTAAATCAGAATTTATATAATATTATTTTTTAATTTGGAAGTAATACTTCAGTTAATAACCTTTGGGTTGAAAGGACAAATTTTTTGTTTGTTTTGTTTTTTTTTTCTATCAATTTGTGTTAATTATCAATTTATTATTTGTTTTTCATTTGGGTTTCCGCGGTAACAACAATACTATACTCATTGATGCATGCGATTAAGTAATAAATAAAATAGTTTTCAATCTTGTATAATTACATTTAGATTAAATATAAATCTAATTACGATTTTCAATTATGATTAATAATTATCATTATGTGCAATGCATTTGCACGCTTGATTATATAATTTGGATAATGCACAAGCAGTGTTATTTATTATTAGAACGGCGGTGCGCAATTCCGTCAGTCGAATGTGTTTAAGAAATCGTTCGTTCGCTTTCCCCTGATGCAAATCTGTAGTTACATTCAGATTTCCTGGATGTTTACCGGTCGTTTTTCCAACTTCTTCGTCGTCGTCTTCCATAATTTTTGTTTTATCGGAGCGCAAAGTAAATGCGCGTACCGACCGACAATGTGGGCAAATCACCAGGAAGCGATTGTGCAACTAACTCGTCATATGGTCGGCGCGCCGTAAACATCTTCAAAATGCTTTCACTTTGACTCTTGATTTCCTGTCTTAAGAGATGGTACGAATAGGTAAGTATAACACGAATGCGCTTTAGCTTAATTTGTTTTTAGAATTGTCGCAATTGATGCGAGATTCGCAAAGTTGATTTCCGGCCTGAAGAAATGCCAATAAACGAGGCTTTAACTGGATTTCGTATTGGAATTCTGCTGTAATGATTTATTATTGTTGGGTATTTTCAATTAAATGTTCGGCTGCTTACATAGAGATGTATGATTTATTTATTTTTTAAGTAATAATTTCAATTTCTCTTTGTCGTTTTTTTTTTCTCTCTTTTAAATCTTTAACAGGATATTATTAATAATACTGCACACTGGTTTTTGGGTGATTTTGATGGTTCGATGATGTGCGCGTCATTATTGCAATAAGATAACAAACAAACACAGCTAACAAATGGTACTAGTTAAGTTTAATGGTGTCCTCCGCCGAAGGAGTGGCCGCCCTCGAAGGAACCGCCACCAAAGGAATGACCTCCTCCGAAGGATCCGCCGCCGAAGGAGTGACCTCCGTCACCGCCGCCGCCTCCGAAGTGAATTTCTCCGCCGCCGAAGTGACCACCGCCGCCTCCGCCTCCAAAGTGACCGCCGCCGCCTCCGCCTCCAAAGTGACCACCGCCGCCTCCAAAGTGACCACCGTCGCCTCCGAAGTGACCTCCTCCGAAGGATCCACCGCCACCTCCTTCATGGTGAGATACTTTGATGGGAATGTGGACTGGTACTTTGACCGGATATGGTATTTCTTTCTCGACCGGGTATGGTACTTCCTTGATCACAGGATATGGTTTGTCTACTGGTACCTTGACTGGAACTGGGACGGGCTTCTCGACTTCGACTGGGACTTTCTTCTCGACGGTGAAGGGCTGTGGTACTGGTACCTTGACGTGGTATGGGACTGGTCTTGGTACTTCGACGGGGTAAGGCTTGTCGACTGGGATTTTAACCTCGTAAGGTACTGGTTTTTCGACCGGAACAGGGATGTGCCTTTCAACAGTGACTGGGTACGGTTTTGGTACGTGCACGGTGTATGGACGATCGACTGGTACCTTCACTTCATATGGTACCTTCTTCTCAACGGTGTAAGGTTGCGGAACTGGGATCTCTACCTTTACCGGGTACGGTACTCTCTTCTCGACGGTGTACGGTTGTGGAACGTGAACCTTGACTGGGTATGGTACCTTCTTTTCGACGGTGTAGGGTTGTGGTACTGGCACCTTGACTTCGTAAGGCCTTGGCACAGGTACCTTGACTTCGTACGGTACCTTCTTGATGACCTCGTACGGCTGAGGCACGTAATATGGGACCTTGATGATCTCCTTTACTGGGTAGGGAACCTTCTTCTCCACGGTGTAGGGTTGTGGTACTGGTACTTTAACCTCGTACGGTACCTTCTTTTCAACAGTATATGGAACGTGCTTTTCAACGGTGTAAGGAACCGGGATCTTCTTCTCAACGACAACGGTCTTCACGTGCTCATGGTGACCTTCGCCACCTCCATAACCTCCACCTCCGCCGCCTCCGCCGAACCCGTGACCTCCCAATTCGAGGCCACCTCCGAAACCGTGTCCTCCAAAATCATGTCCTCCTCCACCTCCAATTTCTCCTCCGCCAAAGTGAATGATGCCACGTTTATCCTGCTTCTTGTTCTCCTGCGACACTTCCTTTTTTGTGGACTCCGCAGCTAGAGCCGAGCACAAACAAACGGCACCCAGAAATACCTGCAAAGAAGAAACAGACAATCTTCAATTAATAAACCGCACCGTAATCCTCTGTTCCAAAATTGAAGCACTTCACTCTTGGTATACTTACAATTGCCCTCATGTTTCTGACGATGTGGAAGGCTCTGACGCTCTACAAACCCGCAAACTCTTTTATACTCGGACCGCTGCACTTTCTCACCGCTGCGCTCGCACCTCCAGAGGGTTTCACTTCCACATCCGCCACACATCTTATGCAACGGTTCACCTCTTCGCAAATAACCTTGAAATGCAAAGCCACCATCACCGACAACGACCCTCAAAATTACATATTATACATCTCAATTTTATCTCTCAAAATTGCAATACCAAAATACCCGGATTCATTAATACACATTACGCTGATTTCTAATTGGAAAATAATACAAATTGATACGAAGCAGTTTCCAATATCTGCAGCAGATATTCGAAAGTGTTTATTTTTCTGAGAACGCAATAAATTGCACTAGGAAATCCACCTCATTTCGTATATCATAAATATTTATTAATCCTGATAACGTTTTCAAATACGCACGAAACACCATTTCCGCCAATAGAATAATAACATGGAAATATTACAAATATTTCCACAGAGAACAGATGTTTTTTTACATATTTTTTGAAATTATATATTCAATTTTATGGAAAATAATTTATGGAGAATCTTAATGTGTTTGCAATTTATTTGAGTGTTTAAGGAATGCAATAAACTAGGTTGCTTGCCGGGCTAATGCAATTTTGCAGCTTTAGCAAAACGCGTACGAGAGGTTTATAAACGGGAGCGAAGATAAACAAGAGTTTTGCATATTAATGAAAATGAAGAGAGGAGCAACAAAATTGGATGGATTCTAATGAATAATTCGGAGGTCTTCGAATATGGCCCGTGTATCTAATTACGGCCCCGAGGGGCAGCAATTAGCGTTTCGGTGCATCTCTATTTCCAAAAAGTAAGACCAACCGACAGGTAGGCATGGCAAAAATGGTTCACCTGTCTCTCTATATACTAAAAACGTTATCACGATAATGCCTTTCGTGCGCGCAATTCTCTCTCGCATCTCGCACATCCTTTTCCTTTCCTTTTACATTCTTTTGTACTTTTTTTGGATGTTTGCTTTTGCTTATATTCTTTTTTTTTCTTTCGAGCTCCCCGCTGACGACTACCTGATCCTAATGAAGTCGATGCTCCTCCGATTAGGGGAAGAAGCACGTCTGCATTTCGTCCTGCGTTTTTGTAAATTGGCCGTAAAACTGCGAATCGTCAAATTAAAACTCTATAAATCATCGAATGCTTAATGATGAGATTGCCGCAAAGATGCCACCTAATTACTTGATGCGTGTGCCAAGTGTTTTGGAAATAGAAAGCTTCAACGACAGATGTCCAATAGCTCAAGACGAACGACGTTTCAATCTCGCAGCTTCAAGAACAAGTTCCTGGTAAACGTCGTAACAGATCTTACCATATTACATTAATCACAATAATTTACCTGCAAAATATCATTAATGATGAATGAGAGCCGCATTCCGATTTTTCATATTTTAAAGAGCCGCACTTAACTAAATAAGCCTTATAGAAAAATCTTTTGGTTCGAAGATAATAAAATAATATATATTATAATACGATATATACAAAAAACTATTGATTACATTATTTTTAAACACAATATTTCAAATAACAACTCACAAGTAATTTGCATTTTTTTTTTAATTTTATTTTTTTTTTTTTAATTTCATACTAAATTTCACCGAATCTTAAAAAATGATAATAATAATTTAAGAAAAATGAAATCTAGTAATTTATGCATTAAAAAGTATAAACTTTGTATTGAGAATGTTATAAAATCGTGTTTAATTGTTAATAATCAATTGATTTGCATAACAATTTTGAGATTGGAAAAACTTTATAATGAATTGTAACGATATTCAGAAGTCCTTGGATTTTGCGCTATAATAATGGAAACGCACTTCCGGTGCGAATGAAAAAAAAAGCTCGTTAATTTCCCGCATTGCCTTTTAATAACAATTAAGTGAGGAGAAATATAACAAACGTGCTTCATTAAATTCCCGCATTACATCTCAATATACAACAAACAATTATCAACGAATATTAATTGATTGCCAAGGAATTACGTATATCTTAATAAAGCAAAAAATATATATAAATTGTTATTTTTATTAATTTATTTTTAAATAATAATTATTGTTAAATTTGATAGTATTTACATGTATTCCAAATTATTTATATATTTGCATTTTTTTAAACAATTTCTGTATTAATAAAGGATAGTTGAATAATAAAGGATTAATTTAACTATACTAAATAGTTTTTTTTTATTGTAGTTATTATAATGAAAATTAATAGAAATTCAATCACAATCATCTAATTGATTTGTATTATTGATAGAATTTACATTTTGATCCATAATTTTGTAATTCATAATCATAATTACGTGACGCCATCTATTGCTTGATTGCGAAGCTCGTGAAAATTGTATGTTATCTAAAACGTTTAGGTTTAAATGACATTAATTTCGGTATTATAATGAGGTAGTTTCGGTGGACCGATGATGATTAAGTAATGAATAGTTTAGATTGTACAAGTGTGATGGGCGGATGACGGTGCGGAATTAATTGCCGTTTATCGGGAGCGCAAATAGAGCGTTATTTTTAATGGTGTGGGCAGTGCACACGTCGTAATGATAAGATGATGATGATGATGGCAAAAAAAAACGAATGGTGGATGAAAATCGTAAAGCCGTTTTATGGCTCAATCAAACCCGACCCGAATGATTGCAGGTGTAAATTCGAAGTAATCAACTGGAATATCAACAATTAGCGTCAACCCCCGTGCGTCTCGCCCCGCCGCCCCCTACTATTACGGACGATTCGGACAGTTCATTACAACACAAGAAGAAGAAGATGGAGAAACTTATTAATTTTGTAAACTGCCCAACGCTTCCATCTCGAGAGATATCGAGGGCTTCACTTACTTGTTTACTTACTTACGTAAGCGATGAGCGTGTGCGAGAGCTTCCTCCCTTTCTGCAGGTGGGCGATTTTTTAACTTGTCAAAAACCTCGCTCCATTCCCACATGGATTATTTTAATTGGCTATCGGCCTAACTCATTGCTTCTTCTTAATTTGAAACGCATGGCGTTATACAAATGGAAGAAGTTATCATTTTTCAAAAACATAACAAATCTTGTTCATCGTTTCATTAAATTACTTATTACAATCACTTTGAAAAACAATCGAAACCAATTTGATAGGCGATCTACAGAAAATTAATCATTATCTTATATAGTCTAATACATACAATTAGCCCTGACTTAACGTGTGCAGCATTTTAACGTACGCAAAGTGTACGTTTGTATGAATATCTAGTACGGAAGATCGAACAATATTCTTGTATACTCAATACTCGTATAATATCTATCTAACCTATTTCATCTTAATATAAAAAAAAATTCGTTGGGATATATATGAAATTAAATAACATATGCAAGATCGTCCGTAAACTGTACGTTCGTATGAACATCGAGTACGTTAGAGCAAACGCATTTTTTTGATATATTTTATTAATTTTCTATTCTGTTTGAAATTATAACAATAAAAGTCAAATTGATAAAGAACATTAATGATTACCTTAAATATAAATGTAATTAACGTTTACTTATCGTACAACTGTTAGATAATATGATTATTTACGGTCCTCTGATCAATAGTAAAGTGTACGTTCGTATAAATGTCGAGTACGAGTATTTTTTATTATAAAAATTGTTTCTCTTGTTTGCAAAATCATTAAATTAAATAGAAATTATTATTTTTTTGTTGTTATTTTAGAAAATTTATTGTTTTCTGCTCCTATTTCTATACTTCATAAAACTAATACTAAATACAGAAATACTTAGCACTGTTTGAAACCGGACTAAACGAGGACTGTAAAATAGTATGGAAATAAAATCGGTTAATTTATATACAAAAAATTCTTTTGCATAGACATTTTTAGAATTTATTATTACTTAGCTTTATTGAAATTAACTTTGTTTTGAAAATTCGCACTGATCAAAACCGCACTATGCAATGATATGTATTTCTGTATGCAAATTATTAACTTAAAAAGATAAATCACATTTACTTCTAGAGCTAATGGAAATAAGTTAATTATTATTGGAAATGTAAAGTGAAGAAAAAAAATGTTTAATTATAAGATTTAAGTACTACAATTTTCTAATTAAACTGCAAAAAAAAGTCGTCGTTTATAAAAAGAATGAGAGCGTGGAAATTAAGACGTTATTTAAAGAAGTTATTGTTGTTGTTGTGAGCTTAAATGTGAATGGGGTAACGAGCAAAGCGCAAAGAGCATACAACAATTACGGTTTGCAAAATGCGACGGCCGGAATCTAATTGAGCGGACAGGTACGTTCGAAACTAGGCCTGCATCTTGAAATGCAAATCGATGAAAGCAAATCGAAGGCAACAGCAGCAGCAGCAGCAGCTTTCGTGCAATTCTTAATTCAATTTCATCTGGAGAAGTGGAGAAAATGTTACCATATGCTCTTCGCCGCTGCCGCAAAAGAAGCGAACATCATAAGAAAAAATAGAGAAGCAAGAAGGAACGAACCATAGTATATGTGTATGCTATGCATCGACTTTTACTTTGCACAATGTTACAATAATATCTATTTACCATTTACTACTACGCAGTTCATTGCGTAAGAAGAATTCGGTGCCAATTGCAATTTATTAAATATACTATTTCGCACTTATCGAATATATTATTACATAAGTATTCAATCCAGTTGGTGTTAGAAATAATAAGTAAAGAGAAAATCCATTATTTATTACAAAGAAAAAACATATTTAGAAAATTACTTTGCAAGTAAATTCAACAATTGCTGACACAAATAGAAAACTAATTATAAATAAGTAATAACAACGAAGAGAAAATGTACTAAATTTCAAGAGAAGATAATCTTCTATGCAAGCTGTGCTAATTTGAACGATTATTATTATTTTTTTCTTTCTTTTGCACATATTATAGTAATTTCTGCATGTATTTGCACTCTCCTTCTTCCGTGATTTCCAAGCGAGAAAGAATTGAATTTATTTGAATTTCGCTCATTATCTAACGCGAGACGGATTAC